AAAATTAAAAAAAAAAAAAGAAATCAGACAACATATTGCACTAGATGAATCTGCTACAAAAGACCTCTTTAAAGTGTTAAAGGACAAAAATGTCACTTCGAAGACTAAGGTGCACCTGATCCAAACCATAGTATTTTCAATAGGCTTATTATATGTATGTGAAAGCTGGACAATGAATAAGGAAGACCAAAGAAGAATTGATGCATTTGAATTGTGTTGGCAAAGAATACCGAAAATACCACGGACTGCCAGAAGAATGAACAAATCTGTCTTTGAAAAAGTATAGCCTAAAGGCTGCTTAGAAGCAAGAGTGGCCAGACTTTGGTCTCACCTACTTTAGTCATTTTGTCAGAAGGGACCAGTCCATGGAGAAGGATATCATATTGGTAAAAAAAGAGGGACAGTGAAAAAGGGCAATGTTCTTGTTAGCTGGTGCTGCTCTGACAAGACTATACCACAACTTGGATAGCTTTAACAAACAGGAGTTTTATGCTCTTACAGTTTGGAAACTTTAAGTCCGAGTTCAAAGTGCCAGGCTATAGCTAGGGGCTGGGTGAAAGCCCCTCACCTTGGGGTTCAGCTCTGCCTCCTGCTCTCAGCCTGCTGAAGCTGGAGGCTTTTCTTCACTTAGACAGGTGCTAGCTGCTGAGGCTGACAAGCCCAAGGTTGACAACTAAAAAGACACAGTCCCAATGTTACTAAACCATACCGCAGGCCATTCATTCAAGTGCAGTGAAAGTCCCAGGGTTGGCAGAGCATGGCAAGCTGCTGAGCAATGACACAGCTACATGCAGGGTTCAAGCGTGAGACCGTTCCCCAAGCCTTTCTCTTATATACAGGAAGCAAACCACATCCCTAAGGCAGCTACTCAGCTGCTCTCAGTAGATTCCACCATGGAGTTGATTACCAGTCTCATCATGGGGAGCACTACATCCAGCTGCCCAGCCACTCAACCAGGCCCAGCCAAGTTGACACACAAACTTAACTACCACAGGAAGACTCTCAGCAAGATGGATTGACACAGTGGCTGCAAGGATGCACTCAAGCATAGCACACATTATGAGAATGGCCCACACCAGGCAACATTTCGTTCTGTTGTACACAGGGTCATTATGAGCCGAAGCCGACTCCCCAGCACCTAACAACAACAGCAGCATGCTGACCTGAATAACTGTAATGAATCTTTTTGATAATGGTGACGTTGATGGCACAGTTTTATGCCTTAATCACTGTCTGAGGACTGATGTCAATCTGTGCTGCAATGTTCACCACTGTAGTAAAATGGAAGAAAAAGAAGTAAGTTTTTCATAAAACTAATTGCATTCACTTTAAATAACCGTCCTTCATTCTGATTTTATGTTCTTCTTAATTCTTTTGATGTTAAAGTATCATTTCATGAGATAAAGATATAAAGATTTTAAAATTTTTGTACATCCTCACTTGATAAAATAGAAAGCTGCCTATTCAATGATAACCTCTTCTTCATTATCATTTTTGTTATTATTTTAACAGTCCATTAATCCA